TTAATACACATACATCCCACCACTAGACAGCTTGTTTCATCTGTTTTTAATCACCCCAGATGTATGTTCAAGGTCATAAATCAAGGTCAAAATAAGGTATTTGTTTGTCTGGGCCATTGCTATATATTGTGGTAGGTGTATAATTTTCCGTATGCGTTACTCATTGTCTGTGAAATAACAGATGATGTGATGCTTACAGTTCTGGTGGAAGCTCTCAAATGTTAGCTTTATTTTGAAATCAAGAAGGCTCAAACTGCTGAGAAACACTCGGTTTAATTTGTGCACACTGTTTTCGAGCAGGAAACCTCGCGGGGTTTAACAGGTTAAAAAAAGAAGCCGTACCCATCTCGAAGCTGCCGTCTATGAGACCGACGTGTGTGCTGGAGAGGTCGAATCGCCTCTCAATCTGAGTGATGGAGCTCTTTATGTAGGTGCCTGTCAGGGCCTTGGAGAAGTGGGCGAAGGAAAGTGCTACTATAAACAGCTAAAAGACAGAAGAGGTCAGTCCACTTCAAACTCATTGGGAGCATCAAGAATTTACAGGACGATTGTCTAAAATGAAAAGTCCTCGTTACGAGCTGCTTTTGTTCTTTCATAAGCTGTTTATTGCAGAGATCTTTCCTCCTAAACTGGATTTTACGTCAAGCTTTGAATCTTTACACAGAAAAAAAAAAAAAAAATTAGTCAAAACATCTTGACGGTCCTCCTTGCAGGTGGTGGGCCCATAAGGAGGAGGCATCTTGTCTGTCTTTTGGGTTTGACCCAGCCAAGCTCCAAGAACTAAGACTCGGCCATCAGGCACTCGCAGGCATTCAGGTGGTTCGGGCATCTGGTTAGGAAACCTCATGGACGTGTTCTGGGCATGTCCCACTGGGAAGAGACCCTGTGGCAGACCCAGAACCCCTCAGGAGGAATTATATATCCTCCCTGAAACACTTGGGGATCCCCCCAGGAGGAACTGGAGCCTGTCCCTGGGGAGAGGGAGGTCTGGGTTTTCGTCCTGGATCTGTTGCCTCAGGGACCTGACCACAGATAAACGCTAAAAGATGGATGTAATAGCGAAAACTGAATAAAATAAAATTAACAAAACAAAAGTTATAAGCTGAACTGAAACCTCAGTTTGGAATAAAATAGTTTGATTTGGACCGAACTGATGAGCTCATGGCTAGTCCAAGTGTAGCCGTTACCCAAGAGGATGCCTTCCATCGTAAAGCAACCCCAGTCTTGAAAATGTTGACTTAAACACCTTTTTTTTAATAATTGTTTACTTTTACAACAATTTGTAAACACGTGGTTATTTACGTAGAATCCTACGATCGTCTGTAATCTATAAACGTTACACGTACGCAATCTTTCACACTTAGAGGGAGTCAACAGCTAAACCTAAAGCTGCGTCTTTAGAGCAAAGTAAAACCATAAGAGGACAAAGAAGCCGAGCGAGAAAACGTCTGAACCCAGAAGCTTCTAGAAGAAAAGATGTCGCTACAAATGCCGTCTTTCAGGCTTTTAACCTGAAGCGCAATTACACTGAGTGCATCAACGGAATGCTGCTAAAAATAACCAGATTGAGAAAAGAAAACAAAGAAAATGAGCCGAGAAGTGCTGTTTGCAGACAGCTCGAGTACTTTGAGAGTGGACGGGCCAGGACGCTTTCTGGTCTTCTGCTCGGTGGGGTCACGCAGAACCTGCTGGCTGGTCATCTGACTGATGTCCTCCACGCCGTCCTCCATCATCAGACTCAGTGTCCTTCTGCTGTAGGTGTTCTGAGGAAAACAGGAAACTCATAATTAAGCATCTTATGACCTCAAACTGTCATTTATCTCCTAAAACAAAACTGAACAAACAAATAAATATCACTAAAATTACTTTAATGGTTAACTATCCTTGGAAAACACAAAACTCCAAAATGGCTACAACAAGTTTTATAAATATTGCTCTAAAATGAAGTGTGGTAGTAGTTTGAGTGTCATCCCCAACAGACAATCCAAGCACTACACAACTGATTAATTTAAAATGGCCGCCAGAGATAATGAACATTAGTGGTTTTATACTCTCAGTAAAAACATCTAGTATTTTATAATTTCTCACAAACATCACCAGACACAAATCTCATCAGGTTTTGATTTGGTCGTCTGTAAACTGAAATGAGAGAAAAATGACCTGTAAAACTTGCTCAGGTGGGTCCGTGTCAGGTGATGCCGAATCATTATCATTCTGGGAGGAAAACTCTGAATTCATTTGAGCCAGACAGACCTGCTGGGTGAGAAAATGACCCAAAAAAAAGTTTTCTCACCTAGTAGCCTCAAGAATCCTCAGATTCATAACTGCCAACACTCAGCTCACACTCAGCCAACAGTGAGCTAACACTCAGCTAACAGTCAGCTAAAACTTAGCTAACAGTGAGTCAACACTTGGCTAACACTCAGTTAACATTATGCTAACACTCAGCTCACACTCAGCCAACAGTGAGCTAACAGTGAGCTAACACTCAGCTAACAGTCAGCTAAAACTTAGCTAACAGTGAGTCAACACTTGGCTAACACTCAGTTAACATTATGCTAACACTCAGCTAAATGTGAGTTTGTCTAAAGATCAGACCTGCTAACATTAAGCTAACACTATGCTAACGTTCAGCAAACACTTAGCTAACACTTAGCTGCTCATCAGCTGAGTGTTAGCTAACAGTCCAATAAAACTTAGCTTACAGTCAGCTAACAGTCAGCTAACACTTAGTTAACACTCAGCTAATGGTCAGCT